CTAGTAACAAGAAGCTACTAGGAACAAAGGGCATCGCTACTAGGAGCAAGGACGCTACTAGTAGCTCCTGGCCTTGCTACTAGTAACAAGAAGCTGCAAGTGATGTGGTCGTCAGGTAGTCAGACCTTCAGTCTGCAGGTGATGTGGTCGGAGTATGTCCAAGTGAAGTTGTTTGGTCTGGCGGTCAGACCATAATTAATGATTAGTCTGATTTGTTCGATGTGCTGTGAGTTTGGGGTCCTTCAGAATCCTTCAGAAGCGTTTTTTGGGTGGGTTGGGTGGGTGGGTGGGTGGGTTGGGTGGGTGGGTGGGTGGGTGATCATGGGTTCTCTCTAGTCTCTGCTTCTTTGGACTTTGCATCGCTTGTTGGTTGGTGGGGTCGGTTCTTTGGGCTTAGAGATCCAAATGGCTGACGGGCATTTCTCACTCTGACCTCCGCCTTCTTCTCTGCGCTGGCACCACAGCCCATGGCGCGTTCGAACTCGCGCACTCCGCTTCTGGGCGACCGTCGAGCCGGGCAGGGACTGGTGAACCCGTGCCTCGGTGGACCCGTGCTCCACACCGTGAGCGAAGCGAATCCAAGTGTTCCACTCTTCGATGCGATGCCGAACTTCCAGGTGTCCAGCTCCGGAGACCAACCGCTTCCCGACTTCTGGGGAAGAATCTTCGGATGAAAAGCCAGGGAGGGACCCTCTTCACATCCCCAAGACATTTGCAGCACCGGATTCTTCTCCGAGTACCATGACCCTGCGGTGATGGTGAAAAGAAGAAAACACGGCGCCAGCCATGGGATGTCAAGTCAGGGACAGACCCAATGCTTGTGATACTGTGATTCCTTGGAAAGACTGAAAAAAGTTGTCAAAAAACGTGAAAATAGAAAGACTCAGGACCTGGCGTCCTCGACTCAGCGTCCTTTGGTCAGCTAGTTCTCCTGCAAAGCGGAAGGCCAGTGGAGCAGCTGAGCTGGGTATCTGAAAAGCAGAAATGAACACGTGTATAGAATATTATAGGATGAATGACAACAAACAACATGAATAGTGTCAACTCATGACTAAGCAACCCCCTATTAATCTGGCCACCTGGCGAAACTATAGTCCAATTTCCAAACCCATTTGGGTACTGCAGGGCCCAGGATCACCCCAGAACAAGCTAATTTGGCCCGAGTTCTTTGCCCAATTTCTCCTCCAGAGATGAAGTCGTCTGTGGGATCTCTCCAGTCTCTCGGATAAAAATAGCAATTCTCTTGACGAGATGTAGTCTGGTGACAAGCGGGATTGACAAAGCAGGCTGTCTGTGGAGGCTTGGTAAGATGAGTTCTAAACGATAACCAGAACTACAAACTCACAAGGCAAAGCCAGCGCAACTGGTTAAGTGAGGCTGCGCAGCACTTATATACCAACTACAATAGAAAGCTCATGCCCTTGGTTTAAAGGAGTGAGGCATTAGGTGCTTTGGGGAGTCTGGCAAAGCCCCAGCTTGCTGGCCTACGGTTTCACCAACCAAGTAACGCGCGTGTTTCCGTAGCTGATCGAAACGAAGCAGGGATCGATCTGCTGGGATGCCAAAGCCTCATGTGCCCGCGGGGTGCGGGCGTAGGGCGCTATAGGAAGAGGTAAGCTAGTTAGTAGCTATGAGGCACTGGACTCGCACTAATCATGTGGTTCCTAGATTTGTGGAAAACTTACTCGAGGGGCTTTAGTCAGGCAGCATGAGTGTTGGACCCCTCCCCTGCAGTTCCAAATGTGTCACCTGGGTGGGCTATTTGGAAGATGCCTGACTTTGGGAGCCAAACGGCCCTGCATCTGGAGCATTTCCCAGATGGGAAGAAATACCCTTTCATGTGTCCTCCGTTCGGCCAAAAGATTTCTGGGTGCTGGGGAGACCAGCTGCTTGAAGTGCAAAACCGCTTGTTCAAGATTAATATAGGAGTTGGTTGTTTGGAAATCGAAGAACAAGAGTCTGAAACCTCTGGTTGATTCTCGTGAAATCCTTTTTGGATCCAACCCAAAACGCTCACCAACGATCTCGTCGTCCTCGTCGCCCGCGGGAGACGCCTTCGGGGCCTCGGCATGCGAGGGAAGCACTTGTTCCAAAGGCGTCCAGAAAAAGCTGCTGAAACGCCCCACGTCGCAGCTGGTTGGGGGCGGCCAATTGGAGGAGCCGATCACTGGGGAACTGATTTGGCTGCAAGCTCTTATGCATAATGCATCCCACAGCCAGTTGAGACCCCATCCCTGCTCACCACCGGGACGATGGATCCGTCGCGATGGATCCGTCGATCCGATCGGTTTTGGGGAAATCGAAGAGAATTGGCCAGCTTGAAGGCTGGAGATGGAGTGCGATTCTTGTTGCTGATGTGTTTGTTGCTGATGTGAGATGGCAACAGAAGAGTTTGCAGGTCCCGCCACACTGGAGACCGTTCTTTCCTCCCTTTGTTCGTGCTCCTACGGTCCTTCGCCCGCCTCTGGAGATGTGGCTGGCTTGGGTGCAGCCTAGCAAAGTCAGAGGCTATCAAAGTGGAGGTGCTGGAGTGCCCAGAACACTTTCTTAGGATCGATCCTAAAAAGTATCTTTGGACGTCTTGTAGATGCGTTCATGATTCTTTGACAGTTGTCAATAATAACGGCAATAACAATAATAATATCAATAATAGTAATAATCACAACAACAATGAAAGCAAATAGATTATCGATATGTTTTATCACTTGTCCAACGCTCTCCACAAGCTCATTTGAACCCATGTCAACATCCCCTTACTTGGACTTCCATGAAAAGGGTCTGCCCTCTACCAACAATTTAATAATGACCTGTTGAATAGTCCACTTTCCTTTGCATCTCTTGCATGCATCTTCCCAGAGCCAGCTCGGGCATGCCAAACAACACGCCTCTTTCTCCGTGCTCGCCGCAGGTGTGTCCATCTGGCATTCCGGTGGACCCAGTCTGTCACACGTTGGGTCCCGTTCGGTGGGATTGGGACAGGGCTATCTGAAGCCGACCCACAACACTCGGTGGCGAAGGCGACTGGTCTTGACCTGTGGCTGTCTTGGAAACTGGGGCACCGAGTTCGCACTTGAGGTGATGGGCGAAGGACCCAAAAGAGTTGGCAACTTCACTGAAAAAGGTGTTGGTAAACGGTTTTGTGCGTGATGTTCAAGACGGACCTCATTAGACTCCAGCACAAGTGGTTGTTAAACCATACTAGCTTGTTCCCATGTCCAAAACCAAACAAGTTGCTAGTCGCTCAGACGAGCAACTGCCGCCCTTAGAATTTCATCAAACGCATGAAATCAACTTAAAGGCTAAGAGATGTTCGCGTCTGGGCAAAACAAATGTCCAAAAGGTCACGAAAGAGATTGCCAACGGCACCCAACCCCCCTGGTTAACCCAAGGGTCATCTAGAAAAAATGCCTCAAAATGGTCCTTGGCCTTGGCAGCCCAAACCCACCTCCATGTTTAGTTCTCCCCTCACTCACCGCAACATCGGGGGCACAACTCATCAGGAGCAAAGTGGATTGAGTAGAGTAGATGGCACAATCCCCAAGAGGTTACATGGACCCCATCTAAAAAACACTACTCTGAAACCACCTGTACATGATCAACGGAAGAACAAAGGATAGTCCCCGAACTAGAGCCCTACAGGTTTTTTCACAGTTTTCCATCCTTTTCTATGGCACCCAGCCACGGCCTTCACCCTCGACGGTTCACCACCCACTTCTGGCCGACCGGGCACGACGCGTCTAGTCGTTCACCGACCCCATCCCCATGTCCTGCCCCGAGATGCCGACTCCGAGATCGGTGAGTCGACCTGGAAGAGCTTGAGACCTTCTGCGAAAATACTGGTTGCCTGGACATGTCAGTCGACCCTGCAAGGGATGAGATACCAACATGGGTGCACCCTGCTGCTCGTTCCGGTTGATCTCCCCGGTCTATTCTCTTCATGTTCGGTCGGTTAAGTAAGGTCCCCAGGTTTGCAATCGCCTCCATCGAAGCCGGGGGGGCAGGCCCAATGGTTCACACGTGGGAGCAGCTCAAACGCCCAACGAGGACCCAATGCGGCATTTCCCGTGCTCGCAAATTCCCAGTGGTTCTTCATCATGGCTATACACCAGGTCTATTTGATGTATATAGTAAGTCTTTCCAAAGTGGTAAAGCTGTACTAGTAAGTTGGAATGGTCTAATCACCACTGGCAGTGGATGATGATGATTATTTTGTTATTAATATTTATCAACTATTATTATTATGATGCTGCTGCTGCTGCTGGTGATGGTGGCGATGATGATGGTTAGTAAGGGCCTTGTGATGCCAATCTTTTACTAGTCTGTTACAGTACGAATCTTTTGCTGACCATTGAGCTGTGCTCAAAAGGTCGTGCATCTGCCTTGTCGTATCATTTTGGCTTATGCCGCAGCTTCTGCCTCACTTACTTGAGCACACTGGCAGCTTAAGTGCGTTCAGTTCCTGGTTCAGCTTACGAGAAGCTTACGCAAGCTCTCACGAACCAGGCTTTGGCATGTGCGAGAGTTACTTGTATGATCTTGTATGACAAGTTCCTTCCTGATTCCTCATTGAAAAAAGGACGGGGGGGGGGTTGTGGCTCTGTTGGTGGGAATGGGACAGACCGAATATCTCGCGCACCAATTCTGCCGGGTCTTTGGCAGTCGCTCACAGGGTGAGATCGTTGCATCGACCCAGACCGAACGCAGGGAGGGGTCAACCCCAGTCACAGATCGGGAAGGGTCACAAATCAAGGAGCCAGCTGCTTGGTGGAAAATGAACTGAACGGATTACACTCAGACTACACTGGTCTACCAAAGGCTCCTCTACCGGCGTTTCAGATAAGCATCACGCACACATCTTCCCACCTTGGGAGGAGGCTCTGCCTTGGCTCCTGCGCAGGTAGCGAGGCACCAGTTGGGTTTTTTGGACGCAACGACGGAGGTGCGGGCGCGGCCGTGGCAACACGCAGGGCACTGGTGTGGAGTGGTCTGAATGGATCCCGAGGCGACCCTGGACCCGAACCAACTGCTACATGTTGGTTCGGTCCAAGCACATGTTGGTCAAGTAAAAGCCTGCACAAAGGGTCACTGAAGCTGATATGACAAATCTCAGCAAAGTTATTTGTCTTGTAATTTTGTTTAGTCAAGTCATTCAAGTCAGGGTGGTAAAGTAAAAACTGGTTCAGTTCAGTTTTGACTTCTCCTTCCTTGGTCCTTTGGTACCTATCCTCTTCAGCACGCAGAGGCACAGGAGGCAGCCTTTATTGAATCTTTCGGCCCTCAAAGGCAGTTTTTGGAACACAGAACACTCATTTTTTCGATTCGTGACGCGTTGGGATCGGACTGCGTGAAGCATGGCCCAAAACGATCGCAAAATGGCTGAGTTTTGCAACGGTCCATTGGTCCATTGGTGCTCCTGCAGGTGGGAAGGCCAACAAAGGTCCTGGGGCGTCCTTCGCCTGCGAAGCAACGAGCAAAGCCGGATTCGTGTCAGGCTACACCTGTGCCAGAAAACACCTGTGTCACAAGTCCAGTGCCCCAAAACCACCTGTTGGAAGGTCCTGGTACGGAAGATACAACAACACTGTACTGCATGACATACCGGGAAACCGATTTTCGGCAGCGTGGATCGGTTCAACTCTCCAGCACCCTCCAGGCTCTGCTCGAGTCTCCGACTCAAGGCTCTTTCCAAAACAAAACGAACTCAAGCACAGCTCGGTTGGCTTCGAGCAAATTCCATCGCCGTGGTCATAGAAGGCTGTCTTCTGATGAAAAGAGCAGGTTCTCTTGATTGCCCACCTCTGAAGACCCAGGCTCAGCATTGTCTCCTGGCATTGGCGAATGTCACACGTTCGCATCAGACCCTTTGGCTCATGGACCAAAGAATTGGACGTTCGTATGACACCTGGAGCAAAGAAGATCGGAGTCTCAGTCTTAGTAGAAATGTATAGAAATTCAAATATCTCAGCAAATGCAGGACATTGCCCCTCCAGTTCTACCAGTTGGCTGTCGCTTTTCGCAACTGCAAAATCGCTCTAAAATGGTGGTCTCGACTTTTTTTGAAAAGAAGGGCCAAGCGTGATGGGTCCAAAGCTTTTTCAGGCGTCCATCTGTAGTCTACGCATCCAGCTTGATGGGACCTCTGTGAAAGACAGAGTTTTCTATGATCACGACCTCGAAAACGTCTCACCGCTCGCGCGTGGAAACGCGAGGTGCGGACCAAGGGCGTCGCTTTCGCGAAACACCTCGACCTTCACCCGGCCTAGCGGACCAAGGGCGGGCACCTGCACACGGCGAATTTGATGCTCTTATGGCGAAGAGACCTCAAAGGCATCTACCAGGAGTCCAGGAGTTCTACAAGTGAATATGTAGATCATGGACACAATAATAAACCACCACCAGTAGATCGTCCTGTCCCTTTCAATCCCGCAAAGTCGCAGGTTGCATATGGTTGCATAGCTTCCTCTTGCATGGCTGCTGGGGCATCAGAGCGTTTTGGCTACGGCTAGCTATCAGCTAGCTATGGCTGTACCTATACCTCCCATTCAGCAGTATGCTGGAAAGATGCAAAAAAACACCTGGAATTGTGAAATAGAGCCAAAAGACACAAACTGTGTAGCCTGGAATTGTTGCACGGTCAGCTGCACTAGTTTTGTCCAAAAGAGGCCAAAGAGGTGTGTCCAAATTTCAGCCCAAGCCGGGCTTAGGATGAATCAAACAATGATATATATATATATATATGTGGATGTCTAAGTTTGATGTATAAGTTTGATTGATATGGATGTCCTTCATTTGAGAGAAACTAAACAATTTGATGTCTCAAGTGTCTCTCAAATGAAGGGCCCTTTAAACTGATCTTTTTCCTGTCGACTGGGTAGGCGTCCCCCTCTTCCAGCTCCATTGCCATATGCAAAGATTGGGTCTTCAGGGATCCGCAGGGCGGTGGCAAGAAAGCAATTGGTAGCAATTGTGTGAAGCAGCTGGAAAAAGACTCTGCTTTGGCCCCTCCCCACTCTTGTGCACCAACAAACACAACAAACACCGCCTGCCTTTGGGGCACCTGGCACCTTGGCTCCTCACCACAAGATGCCGTGGAGCGTTCGAACACCCGAGGAGCTTCTCGATGAAAGGAGGGCAGCCAAAGTAGATCGCACCATGTTACATCGTGGACGGCTTCAGATGAAAACTTGGCTTTTGCGGTGTGGTCTGCACACACAGTCCCACACTCTTCCCATCTCTTGAGGAAACACTCCAAACAGTCCAAACAGGTCCAAACACCAAACTGTACTCAAAAAGAAAGTCCATCCCCTTCAAGAAGCTACTTGCACTCCTGAGTTCACCAACATCAGAAAAAGACCGGAAGACCATGGCGCCCTCGACACCTGGTCAATGATTTCTCAGTCATCCCAAATCATGTACGAAACCAGGTCGAGTCAGCTGGAACCTACCTGGAGCGAACGGCGCGAACTACTACAGTAGTAACAAGAACCTACTAGTAACAAAGGGCATCGCTACTAGGAGCAAGAAGCCAGGTCGAAGCAGCTGGAACCTGGGGCGAACACGGTCGCCTCGAACCCTTCAACTTCATCTCCCCTGACACGCCCCGTCCGGGGCTGAACTCTCCTGCCAGCGGCGCCAGGGGCGCTCCAGGAGCCGCTTTCACCTGGCGAAGACCAGCGGTTCGGTAGGTGATGCATGTGAGTCTGAAGGGTTTGAAAATGGGGACATGACCCAGGGCCCAAAAACAGTACTTCCGAGGTACCACGCAGTCGGGTCCAGGTAGGACAAAGCTTCACACATGACGCATGGACCAAATCCGTGAACCGATGGTGCAAACGGAGGGCCGTCATGAGCTCTATCAAGGGTTAAAACGGGTGGGGCACAGTGGCTCGCCCGGGATTCCTTGGGCCCCTTCTTGGTT